TTTGGAAGCTCCAAAATGCAGCATAGCCAGAGGATTTTGTGCAATTAATCAAAGAATCATAGATCTAGAGGTGGGAGGGATCTTAGACTTCATCTAGTCCAACTCCATTATTTAACACATAGGGAAACTGAGGCTCTGGAGGTGAAGTTACTTTCCCCAGGTCAAACCAACAGCAAGAATGGGAGGCAGAATTTGAACCCAGAACCCACAGCCAGTATTCTTTCCACTGAGCTGCAATCCAAACCTTTACTCTCTGTGCTGGTTTCTCTGCCTATTCTTCTCTCCCCCACATGTACACACAGAGGGGTTAATAACGGTTGTGCAATTTCCACCACATGCGATACTTCTACCCAGGGTAGAAGGTGGGTGGGCCAGCCAGGGCCTGAGAATTTAAAGAACAGCAGACATCAAGAAAGTGGCATTCTGCCAACAGATGTCTTTTCTTCAGCAAATCTTCCTCCTATGGAGAAACTGCTTCTCAGCTTCCTGGAAATCTGAGACATCTGCTAGATGGTTCTCACACATTTCACTTTTTATCAAAATCTATAAAGTTGGAGGGTGGTCTTCTGTTTTGTTTTTGTTTCCCACAGGTTGAAAGGTTAAGACTGAGACCCTCGAAAGAGATTGACCTCATCTGACTGTGGGAATCAGAGAGGGGGAGTGGGGGGAGTACAATTGTCTCCTTTGACAATTTGCTCTATAGGGCCCTGGATGCAGAGATGAAAAAGTCCTTATCTAGCCCAACCCTCTCATTTTGCAGATGAGGAAACTGAGGTCCAGAGAGAGGAAATACCAATACAGAAAGTAAGCCTGACAGGCAGGTTTAAAGCCAAGTCTTCTGAGTATAGGTTCCATTGAATTGCACCCCTTCTTTGAATACTCATTAGACCCAATGATGCTGTCATGAATTTTGAGGACATTAGTTTCTTTCCACTAAATGCAGTAATGCCTGATCATATAGGCACATGCCAGAATACAATGCCTGGCCATATACACTGAAATGCATATAGAGTCTGATTTCATACATGCATACACATACGTAAAGACCCAATGTCTTATCCTACATTACACAGTCAGATGTCCTCTCTCCCCGCACCACATCGCAACATGCGCCATTCTCAGTCCCATCCTTACAGTCTTGTTACCTCAGTGATAAGTGTTAAGAAATAGAAAATAAACATAGGAAGCACCCAATCACCAACTAGGATGCCAATGAATGTTTGCTTCATGAGGCCACTCTAGATGTAACGGATAGATTCTGGGCCTTGAAACCAGGAAGACCTGAGTCTGAATCCTGCTTTAATCACTGACTATCACCTAATCAGTCTCAGTTTCCTCATCTTTAAAATGGGGATAATTTCCCCTACATCACCGAGTTGTGAGAATCAAATGAGATATTACATGCAAAGTGTTTTGCAAGCCTTGAAATATTAGATAAAGGCTAAGCTATTTAAAAAATTATTACCAGTGAAAATTACAAATAGTAGTAGCGCCTATTTCTGCTACTCACATAGAGCTATCAGCTCAGCAGAAAGACATGGCTCCAGATTTTCCCAATCCAATTCCATCCCCTAGTTCCAGTTAGTGGCTTGCTTTGTTGGGCATTGATTACCCTTGCTATTTCAGCAGATAACTGAGGCAAGAGTTAATAGAATGCAGCATCAGAATCTACAGTCTTCCCAGTGCATGGTCCAATAATCTTTTTGTTCTTCATAAGCTCAGAATGTATTCTTTTCAAGTACATTAAAAGGTAGAGTTTCCCTTAAATAATTGTGTGGAAGGCCAGCCTCTACTCAATGTCATCCAAAGATATCATAAGACCCTATCCACCTTCAGGTATGTTCTCTACCCAGACTGACCCAGCCTGGTTCCATCCTCTCCTCTTACCTGACCTAAAATTTCATGCCCTCTCTCTGACCCAATCCCCTATGAGAGTCATGAGTGAGATATCGAAGGCAGGACTTTCTCTACAGAAAGCCCCCATCTTGCCCAAAAGGGTAGAATGGTCATTTTGTTCTTTTCCATTCTCAATTATTCCCCCTTTTTTGTCATTGTTTCCCCAGCACCCAGCACAGTATTTGGCTCATAGGATGTGCTTAGTAAATGGAATTCATTCCACAAACATGAAATGTGCACTCACAATGAGCTACAAAGAGCAGCAGAGGCTTTGGAGGTGAGGAAACTGGGTCCTTGCCCTCCAGGGGCTACTAGTCGGGCCGGATTAGCCTGTTGATACAGGTTGATTTATTAGGTTAGCTAGCTCTGACACTGGGAAAGACCCAAAGGGGAGGAGATGGGAGAGAACATTCCTCAAGGAGAAAGAAAGGGCAGTGATGAATATCATTTGGAAGCTAAAAAGTGATCCCAGCTAACAAAGGCACCTGCAAGGCTTATCTAAGGGCTGAGAGAAGGGTTCCAGAGAGGCTAGAAATCCTCGAGTGAGGAGAAGCAGCTTTGAAAGGGAAGAGTGACAAACTTCATTTATTTCCCAATTTCACAGAGGTCCACACCTAAATAAACATTAATTATCCACAGGCCCATTACTGACAGATAGTAACAGCTGATACTTATGTCTTGTTTTAAGGTTTAGAAACCACATAGGATCACAGAAATGTAAATAGATTTAGGGCTGGAAGAAACCTTAAAGGTCATCTAATCTAATCTCCATATTTTAAAGATGGGGAAACTGAGGCCCACACTTTGGAGTAGAAGGATGTAAATGCCATTCTTTCAAGACTCCAAATTCCCTGCACCGTACTAGCTTCTTAAGGGCAGAAATTATTTTCATTTTTGTCTTTTTGTCTCAATGCCTAGCAGATAATAGGCCATAATATTAATATAATTGAATGATATTAGTAGTAATTAGTAATATTCATAAATGCCTGTTGATTGTCACTTTACATTTAAGCTCTACAAAAACCTATACTGTAGACACTAAAGGTACTATCATCCCCATTTTAAAAATGGGTAAACAGAGGCTCAGATAGTTTAAATGATTTGTAAATAATTATACTGCTAAAAGATGTCAGAAGCATTTGGACGCAAATCTTTCTTGACTCCAAGTCCAATATTCTTTCCACTATGCTGGGCTGCCTCTCAAAGAGGTACTTCATCAAAACAAATGAAGACATGGTGGAAAAATACTAGTTCGGGAGTCCCTTCCCTTAACGGGCCTATGAGCTTCCTTCTTTTCTTCTTTCTTTCTTTCTTCCTTTCTCTTTCTTTCTCCCTTCCTTCCTTATTTTCTTTCTTTCCCTTATGAGCTTTCTAATATGTAAATGAAAGGCTGGACGAGGTCACCTTTAAGGTCACTTCCAGTTCTAAATCCTGTGCTCCTATGAGTAACCTTATTAGGTTGTTTTTTGATAACCAGCAGCATATTCACTCAGACCTAACAACCTTTTAGGGTAAGAACAATGACATTGTTAGTAACTGATACTCCAATGGATCTATGATCCCATATGAGTTGGTATTCCCTCCAACACTAATTTAGGGTTAGAATTAGGGGGCTCAGGTCAGCTCATAATAACCTAGTCATCACAAGAAAAGCATCCCAGGTATCTTTCCCATTTCAGCTGTGTTGAAAGCAAAACCTTGGTATCTCAAGACTCACCCACTCTTCAGTCATTTTTCAGTGGTATCTAACTCTTTGTGACCCCATTTGGAGTTTTCTTGGCAAAGATACTGGAATGGTTTGCCATTTCCTTCTTCTGCTCATTTTACAGATGAGGAAACTAAGGCAAACAGGGCGAGTGACTTGCCCAGGGTCACACAGCTAGTAAGTGTATGAGGATGGGTTTGAACTCAGGAAGATGACTCTTCCTGACTCCAGGCCAGGCACTCTTTCAACACCTAGCTCACCCACTCTAGCTCTTACTGAAGGAGCTCCCTCAAGCAGGGGCCAGGCCTTTTCATTTCAGAAATCCCTTGTTCTTCAGTAATTGTTACTAACGTGGACAAATCATGACTTTATTCTACATGGGACCATAGGCCTAGAACTGGAAGGGATGTCTAGTGCAACCCCCTCAGTTTACAAGTGAAGAAATTGAGGGGAGGATGAGTCTCTTCGCTAGATACTATTTTGGTGCAGAGGAAAAAAACACTGGATTTGGAGCTGCAAGAACTCCTGCTTCTGTCACCTGTGTGACCTTGAACATGTCACCTCACCTTGAAGGGCTTCGGGTTCTTCATTTGTAAAATGAGAGGGGGGGGGAACTAGGGGACCTCTCATTTGTCAACTCTCCCACTGTACAGCCTTGACACAAGAGAATAGGCAAGAAACATGGCGCAGTGCAAAAAGTGTTGAATTTGGAGTCAAAAGACTTGAGTATTCTTTGGTCCATCACCCAGATATGCCACTTACAACCTGTGTGACATTAGACAAGTCACTTCATTGGGAGGGGCTTCAATTTCCTCATCTGCAAAATGAAAAGTTTGGACTAGGGGAATTGCTAAGCTCCCTCCAGCTCTAAATCTTGGGATCCCAGGCCTCCCCTTATTCTGGCTGGCAATTTTCTCTTTAGAGAACAAAGTCATTATTTCTCCATCTTAGCAGAGATTCCTAAAGGAGAAGAGCCTGCTTTCTGTCACTCTCCTCATTCTCCACTCATTAAAATAAACACATGCTCAGCCCTCAGAGCGTGGTAAGCAGAGGCCCCTAGAGCCCTCCATCACTGCTAGTTCCCGCCTGCCACTCTAGCTGCCCTCCCCAGAGCCCCACTAGGCGGGCGATTTATTTTCAGCCTTCACAACAGTGCACCCCTTTTGGATCCACTCTCAGAATTTATCTTGCATTCCCTCACAGACTTCACAACCTCAGTGCCTGGACATTTGAGCTGATTGCTCCCCTCTTCCTATTAAAACTCTGTCTTTGTGTCTATTCCTTTCATCTCAGCACAGGCCCCTGAGCCACAGAAATGCCTACTAGAAAGAAATCAATGAGCACCCTCCAGCCCCTACCAGGGTTAAACTGCTCACTCGTGTCTTCTCCCCGTGCTTACCTGTTGTAGGGGGATGGGGAGGGCATGGTACATGTTTGTGTCGATGAGCTGATGCTGTGTGTTAGAATCCCAGGTGCTTTAGGGGGCAGCCTATGGAACATGTCTTCTTCTAGCCCTAGACCAAATGCTCTTGGAATCACAGTTAACTCAAGAGCAATTCTCCGATGGATTTTAACTCTTCCCTTCAAATTCCCCCTTTCCGGGGAGGGATGGATGTCTCCTCTCTGGTCGGCTGAAGAGATGATTAATGACAGCTGTGCCTGGCTTCAGTGGAGTTGAGGGCCAAAGGTCCCTTTGAATTGAGTGAAGGCGGCAGTCTGCCTTCAGCTTATTTTCCCAGCTTTCATCCCTTTTTTCAAGTAATTAAGTATGAAGAAAGAGGCAGCAGTAATTACGCTCCTTTTTTCTTCTCATGAAACAGCTGCCCTGGCCAGTCCTGGTTCTTTTTTTTTCCTATGAGTCTGTGCTGTTTTTTTCCCCCTCTCTGAAACACTCTTATGGAATGGTACCCATTGGAAGATATCATCACTAAAGCAGCTATAGAACTGATCATTTCCTTCTTCCTCATCCATCTGTGGCCCTGGCAGCTGACTGTGACCTAAAAGTGGAATCATCTTCTTCTCTCAGACTTTAGGGTTCCTTCAGTTCTTTCGTTTTTGAAGAGTTTCCTAAAGGAGTCATTTATTTTCCCACAATCTCCAATTATCTAATGCCTTTCCCATGCCCTTAGGGGTGACTGATCAACTTTGCCTCTTTCCCTTCCCCTGGAGCCATTAATCTAGTACTTCCTAGGATAAAACTTGGAATTAATAATGCTAACCTTCAGAAGATTAAAGTTGATCTTAATATGAGAGAAAATCAGGGTGTTTGGAAATGCTTCTTGAATAGGAAACAAAGTAGATGCCAACTGAGTGGGGAGTGGCTAGACAGTTATGGCACATGAATATAATTGAATATTACTGTTATGTAAGATATTATGAATTTTTAAAAAGCATAGGAAACCTGAAGCAAAGTGAAGTGAGTAGAACCTAAGAAATATACATAAATATGTAATATACATATTCACATACATATATACATAAATAAAGCTTAAAGAACTATGTAAATATTGATATAATACCAATAAAAGAAAATTATCCTTGGGATACCCAGAATTTTTCATGGAAATCCCAAGAGAACCAAAGTTGTCTTAGTAAGACTACCATTTTCCCATAGAACCTCTTAAATGGCATGATCATGCAGAGGTCATAGGGTAAAAGAACAGTAAATGGCTGCATTTCCTCCCTCTCCCATTCTCTCCTCAGACCTTAAGCATAGGTTGGAGAAGAACCTCCATCACACATAAGAAACTGTTGCCATTCCATTTTGTTAAAATGAGAGCTCCTAGTCCAAGCTTTTCTTTCCCAATTGGCCCCAACTAGTTGACCTTTTTGCTTTGGATTGCACCCCCTACCTAGGCTAAAGCAGATTTCAGTTCATTGACTCCTACCATCTTGTTGTCCAAAGAGTCCTCTTAATCTTTGAAACCAACCGCTACCTTACTTCACTCCTAGAACTGACTTCCCCCCTCAGCCCTTCTCCATTCTAACAAAGAAGCCAGGGATGGGACCACTTGTTTAATTAAGGAAACATCGCAGCAAGATTCAATTGCTTGCTCCTCGTGAATTTGCGTTTTAACACAACTTCTCATGACCTGACACTCTCGGTGCTTCTTTGGTCATTTGCAGGTCTGAATAATAGACCTGGATTCTTGGCTTGGCCTGACCTACTCTCGTATTCCTCTTGTTTGTTGGAATCTCATTAAGCCCACTACTGATAAAGAAGCATTCATTTGGCTATTCTACAGCAGAACACATTCTGATTTCCATGTTTACTCTATTCATTCAAGCATTTGGAAGCTGGATCACCACTCCTTTTAAAATATATTCCTTGGTAATCTCAGTTAGGTCATGTTTTAAGAGCTGCCTAAAGGATAGCTATGCTAAAAACCCAGAGTCCTCCCCCAACCTCTCATCCTCAAACACTGAAGGAAATTTCTAATTACAATTTGAAGTCACTGGAATAAAATTCTGGGTTAGGAATCTATGCACCTGGAGAAGGGAGAGGAACACAGAAAGAGAAGATAAGAGGGAACTAAACAAAAAGACCTATACACATTTCTTTAGCATTTCACAAAGTCTTTTTCTCCTACCAATCCCATAAGGTCAGTGATAGAAACTCATGATCAGAGATTTTTCCCAAAATCCTGCAGCTACTTAAGGATCAGAGCAGGGATTCAAACCAGGTCCTCTCAATCAAATACCTCAGGGTATTTTCCATTCCATTATCTTGTTTTTCAGCAAACTGAATCTGGCATGGCCAATTCTGCCTATTTCACAATTGAGCCCTGAGGTCCAGGCCTGGGTCAAGAGCATCACTTTATGCCATTAGTGAATCCATTTCTCTGTCTGCCAAAGTCATGTTGTTGTTTCCACTTCTGTTTATTTTCTCAAGAAGGCCAGTCAGTCAGCAAACATTTATTAAGCCCTTACTAGGCATCAGGCTCTGTGCTAAGTGCTGCAGAAACAAAGAAAAACAAAAATATGTTCCCTGCCCTCAAGGAGCCCATATTCTACTGCAGGAGACAACATGCAAACATCTATGTATGTACAAGATATATATACATATGTATATATATATATGTGTGTGTATGTATATATATATATACTATATATGTGAAATTTCTTTGGAAGACGGTAAGCACTTAATAAATGCTTATTGACTGGTTGAAAGGTCATCTCAGATGGGAGTTGCTAACTCTTAGAGGGGTCTCCTGAAAAAGGTGGGATTTGAGATGAGTTTTAAAGGAAGCCAGGAAAGCCAGGAGGCAGAGGTGGAAATGGAGATCATTCTGGGCATGGGGAATAGTCAATGAAAGAGTAGAGAGTTGGGAGATGGAGCATGGGGTACAAGGAACAACCAGAAGGTGGGTATCAATAGACTGAAGTGTCCATGGAGGGAGATAAAGTGCAAGAAGGCTGGAAAGGTAGGAAAGGACCAGATTGTGAAGGGCTCTGACTACCAAAGAGAAGGTTTTAGACATAGCATTGGGGCAGGGAATTGGGCCTTTCAAGATGTCCAAGCGCCTTGCCCTTCTTAGTAACACCTCCACCTGCTACCTAAGCAGGTGCTTGGAGACTGAGCCCCCTTCCTCAGACAATGCAGCAAAACCAAAGCAGCCCCTTCTGTTAATAAGTGGCACCGACGTAAACCTTTGTCACATTTAAGTCTTGTGACATTTACTTTTCCCCTTGGAGAAATTGAACAGCACTCTGGACTGAAGGGAGGATTTTTTTTCTTATTGGAATATATGGTTTGTAAAGACTCTGGAGAGCTGTGGTTGGCTGCTTATTTGGTGGGTGATTATTGACTTTGAAGCCTGTGATTTCCAAATTTTCATTTCTGACTGAGGCCATGTGGACAAATGTATCAGACTCACAGTGTCAGGTCCATGGTGTTGGAGATCTCTTTGTGGGCAGTAAATATAGTGCTTTCTGGTCCCCCATTCATCTGCTGCTCTGACAGTTGCTCAGGAGCCACTGGGGAGCAGATGTCCCACAGTGCTCAGTAACAGCTTAATTATTTCCGTCACTGACTTAGCCCCTTCACCTCCTGACACAAACTGAAACAGGATGGAAGGTCTAAAATAAGAAAGAGCAGGTTCTAATACAAAATATTTTGCATAAAGAGGAGTAGTCTTTTTCTCCTTTTCCTACACACACAAGAAATCAGCTGTTTCCAAATGCCATTTGTAACAAGGGCCAGACAAAAGCAACTCTACACTTGTCAGGGCCCTGAGTGTTAGGCACAAGTATGCTTACCAAGATTCCATTTCTCTGGAGACTGTGTGCGTGGAGCTGGGTAAATCAAAAGGATAAAAGAGAGTACAGCACGGCAGGGTGATTGCATCAGAAGAGCAATAAAGACTTCAAAGCTGGAAGAAGAGGAACAGCATGGAAAAGTAAGTGGAATACTTACCTTGGGGTTCACTCACCCAACATACCACCACTAGCTGGTTGGATCTCCAGAAGTGTGGCTATTACTACTACCAGTATACTAGAGGTAACGCTGGGTGGCTCTCCTCCCAAATGCTATGGCATGGGTCCCCATCAGTGTGTTTCTCTTTAATCAGAGAGCAGACTCAGTCCTTTAGTAAAGATGTTTTCTAAGTATAGTAGTTAAGTATAGTAGTTACAAAGCACTTCCCCCAAACATCAGGGGCACGCCTTCCCACAAATACCCCCCAGAGTCCAGGAGAAGGGAAGAGTGAGCATGAACTTGAAGAACAATGGTGCTTTACAATGTACAATACAGTGCATGCATAGGAGACGTGCATGGCCAAGGCAACTCACAACTCCAATATTACAGAGCCTTGATGCCCTTCCTCTCTTTCTGGTGGGTTTTCACAGAGTTCACTCTACTGTTCAGTTATTCTGGCTCTTTGCAGGGGGGCAGTGTCTCAGCGGGACCAGCAGCAGCTCAGATGGCCTACATTCCTAAGGTATGATATATTGGCTGGAAGGGCCGTTCTGCTGCAAGGCTGACTCAAGCAGACCGCTGGCTGTTGCTGGACTGGACTGGGAAGCTTGCTCAGACACTGTGTTCTTCTCAAGGCACATCTGAGTCAGTCCTCTAGTCTGATGAGCTCACTCTTCAGTGGACACTACAATCTTTTTCCTACCTTTGGCCACTGTCTGGGCTGGGAAGTACTATGCTGTCTTCAGCTGGAGTGTTACCATGCTTTTTTCATCTGGAGTGCTACAAAGCTCTTTCTGCAATAGCAACAACCCTTAACTTAGGACTGGCAGAAGCTTCTTCCCTTTGACTCCCCCAGAGCCTCAGCTCTCTAGAAGTGTGGCTGTTACTATTACAGTATACTAGGTGGCTATTTTGTCACCTCCAGGCAGGAGATAAAGAAGCCTTGCCTCTGTTATCTACAAATTCTTCCTCATTCAAAACTCCTTTCCCTCTTTAAGCCACTCCTTGGGGTTATTAGTTTCAGTTCAGTCATTTTCACCTGTTATACTCCTTTTAGAGTCATATGTAGATGGGGGCAAGGACAAAGGTATAAATATAGTCTGTGCTTTGGAAGCACATTCATTGTCTTGTTGGCTTCTTCTTCTTAAGACATTCACACTTCCACACTGTAGACCCTTTCTAGGTGAAGAATGTCTATTTTTCATCTGAAAATTTACCTTTAAAAGGTAAAATTCCAATTTACCTTTAAAGGTTTGTCTTTTTTTTCACCTTACACCCTTTAAATTGGCATAAATGACCAAAAAAAAATTAATTTATTTATATATTGTTGGTAAAGCTATGAAATCATATAACCATTTTGGAAAGCAATTTGGAATTATACAAATAAAGTGACTAAAATGTTCATACCCTTTGAAACAGAGAATCATTTTTGGACTTATACCCCAAGGAAGTCATCAACAAGAAAAAATTCCACATATGCTCCAAAATATTTATAGCAACGTTTTTTGTGATAGCTAAGAATTGGAAACAAAGTAGATAAGCATCAGTTGAGGAATGGCTAAACAAATTGCGGCCTATGAATGTAATGGAACATCACAGTGCTGTAAGAAATTATGTATGATGAATATAGAGAATCGTGGAAAGAATTATATGAACTGATGCAGTCAAGTAAAGCCAAGAAAATAAGATAAACAGCAACTGCAACAGTAACTACACACCAAGAAATCAAAAGTAAATGTAGCAAAATTATAAAGATCAGTAGTACTCAAATGAAGAGACAGGAAAAGACACACCCAATCTACCCCCTTCATGGAAGCAGGAAGTCCACATGTGCTATATACATTGTATGTTTTTAGACTTTTTCAATGTATGGATCAGCAGTACTATTTTCTTTTTCCTCTTTGAGAAAACGACTATTTGTAATACGAGATGTCTCTCTGAAAAGGACAGGGAGAAAGATAGTTGGGATATTTCTAGTGATGTAAGAAACAAAATATCAGTAAAAACTTATTTTTTTAAAGTGTGAGAATGTTTTGATTTGTGGTTTGTTTATTTTTTGCCTTTGCAGACCTTTAATTGTTGCTAAAGTCTTACTGGGGCATCCCCTTTACATAAGCATGCCAGTGCCTGGTACAAGAAAAGAGATCAGCAGTAGTGTAGACTCTTTGCCAGTGTCTGAGAACAAACTGAGATCCCACAGAATGAAGAGAGAAGACATCTGAGCTGCAGAAAGGAGCCAAAACCAAGGGACACTCTGAGTGAAGATTCGTGGACAAGGCTGGCCAACCTCATTCCTGTGATACCATTGACTTGGCCAGACTTTTCCCTCTATTTTAATGCAGGTCTTTTAGAGCAGAGGTATCAAACAGATCATGACACTTTTGAGTGCAGCCCAAGCCAGATCAAAATGTAATTGGGAAATATTTAACAAAACAAATAAAAATGCAATGAAACAGAGATAACATGACATTGTAAAACTAAGTCAATATGCGGCCTGCAGGGATCCTTAAGTTTGGATTAGTGGCCTCATTTCTATTTGAGTCTGACACCACTGTTTTAGAAGATTATTTCCCAGATTTCTACACAGAATCTAAGAAACAGCTATAGTCATCTTCAAGTTTAACAATGCCACTGTTAAATGCTATCCCCACTTTGTTATGCTTCCAGAAAGAGGGAACTTTATCCATTTCAGAGGCATGATTCTTGGTGAAACTATTTTCCCAAAATACTCTAATGAGAATTAAGGATTCATTAACTCTCATTTAGGAATGCGTGTTAAAATGTGTTCTCCATCCTTTTCTAATTGCTTGAGCAAAAAGTACTTTACTTTTAAAATGCATGGCCTTTGTCTGGTCTGCAAGTAAGGTACAGAGTTCAAATGACTTTAGAGATTCCCAGATTGTCTTGGGTTGGGGCTTAAGCCAGTTAATGTTGTTTATTATTATTTCCAACATTATCACAAGATTATATAGATTTAGATACAGAAGAGACATCAAATCCAACTCCTTCATTTTACAGATGATGAAACTGAGACCAAGAAAGTGACTTGCTAAGAGTAACGTAATTAGTAAATGTCTGAGACAGGATTCAAATTCAGGACTTCTCGATTCCACACCCATCAGTCTGCCAATTCTGCTCCCTAGCTGTCAGTCCCACATTAAACCCAGTAGTTCCTGTAAATCCTGAGTTGACAGGGACATGAGGTACATATTTATTTGATCCTAATAGGGCAGTCAACTTGGTAGCCATCAGTAATCAAGGTGATAATAGCATCTATTACTCACACACACTACTAATAGAGACAGAATCTAGCACCTCTTCTCTATTAGAGCAGAATAACGAATGTTTTTTTAATTTCTGAATTCTGTCCCAAAGGTCATTATCCTCCATAGTTTTCAGGTGTACTCATCTGAATGCACTGTCCACATCTGGGGAGCAATTGAATTTGAACAGTTGAACCAATCACATTTAGCTTGAATAACAAAGCTCTTTGGTTTTGAGGACCCATATGGAACAGTAGAAAAGACACATTGTCATAGGAGTCAAAAAAAAAAACCTGGGGTTTTCCCAGCCTGCCTATCTCAATGACCTTGGGCAAGAAGCTTCAACTTTCTGGGGCTCTATCTCTACAACATAAAATGAAAGGGTTGGACAGCTCTAAATTTCTGTGATTCCCCATGATTCTCAGGCCTTCGTCCAATACAAGATTTTGGTTCTGACAGCCATGTAGACAGAACTGGACATAAACACACAACTAAGTGGAATCCATCCGTAGAAGAAAATTAAATGAAAAGACTATCTTATGATCATAGATCTAGAAGAAACCTCAGAGGTCTCTAGTCCAAATCTTTCATTTTAAAAATAAGGAAACGGAGACCCAGATATTATAAGAGACTTCCCCATGATCTTTTGGATAGTAAGCATTGGATATAGGATTTGAACTCATTTTATCTTACCCCAGAACCAGGACTCTGTTTTTCTTTATTATCTGGCAACCATATCTTCCCTCACAGGGCAATTAGGTAGTTCAGTGGATAGAGCAGTGGGCTTGGAACCAGGAAAACTCATCTTCATGAGTTCAAATCCAGCCTCAGTCACTTACTTAGCTGTGTGACCCTGGGTAAGTCATTTAACCTTGTTTGCCTCAGTTTCCTCACCTCTAAAATGAGCTGGAGAAGGAAATGGGAAACTACTCTAGTATCTTTTCCAAGAAAACCCCAAGAATGACTCAACAACAACAATCTTCCCTTAAGTTAGTTTCCTGATGGTTTAAAATTTTACAGAAATAATAATAATAATAACTAACATTTCCGGTAAAGTTGGTAGCATAAGAATATAACAAGGTAGCAGACTGTAGGGAGCAAAGATTAGAGTTATAAACACTATCTCCTCACTTTATAGACAAGGAAACTGAGATGTGCTTTCCCTAAAGTCACACAGATAGAAGATAAGTAAAGCCAGGATTGGAACCTGGATCTTTGAGTCCAAATCTCATGCTCATTCTGCTCCATCACACTACCTCTCAATTCCCTTTTAGAGCTTCGGAGAGAAAGCAGTCATTGACAGCCATGTAAATGGAGCTAGACATCAACACTTAACTAAGTGGAGCCCATTGTCAGAAGAAAATAATGGTTCGTGACTTTGTTTCATCAAACAGTAGATTGGAAGCTTTATCAGTGCTCCAGTTTTATGCTGTGTCTGGTGAGTGCATTCTTCAGTGTAATTTACCCTTCTAAGCTGATGCAGCTTCAGGATCCCTGGCTCTGGAACCACTTTGGGGCAGGAATACAGATTCTCTTTCAGTAGCATTATTGCTGAGTCATGGAGTCATAGTGAGTGGGAGGGGAGTTTGAGAGAGGCAACAGGAAACGTGCTTTTGCAGCAAAGTATTGACACTAGAAATGGGCGCATCCAGGCAATAGAATCTCTTAACAAAGCTAAGCTGGTCAATGATGGGGATGCATAACTTTGTAGGGGGAAAAATTGAATTTTAAAAAGTACTATTGAGCAGGGGTATTCCTAGATGAGCTTTAAAATGTGTTTGCTATGTGATCCTGGCTAAGTCTCTTAACCTCTGTTTATGCTTGTTGAATTAAATCATACTTCTGGATTCTCAAATGATAGAGTCAGATCTCAATGACAGTAGAAAGTAAACTGAGATGAATCTTAAAGTCCTCATGCAGAGGGCTCATAAAATCATATATTTAGAGCCAGAAGCGACCTTGGAGAATGTCTAGTCCGACCATTTGAAGTTTACCAATGAGGAGAGAGAGACCCAGAGGAGCAAAGTGATTGTAATTGTAACAGAGAAGAATTTGCACCCAGGACTTCTGTTTCTAGAGCCAATATTCATTCCATTATACCGGCTTCCTCACAATTATAACTGTTTTGCCTGGACCTCCCCAGTTTATTTTGACTCTGCATACAGATAAAAGTTCTGCAACAACTGGAAATAGAGCAGAGGGAAGAGGTTTGAGGTTCCTTCTTCCCAAGCTAGTCCAACCAATAGGAAAGTCCCTTTAAATCTAAACATTCAATTAACCTACAGTAAAGTAAAAAGTACAATAAAAAGAAAACCTACAATGAATGTGTAAGCCACAAAGAGCAAGCAAGGAACAGCATATAAACTCAGTCAGCCCACAAGCATTTATTGAGCACTTACTGTGGGCCGGACATTGTGCACAAAGCAAGTCAGAATCCATCCCTGTGCTCAAGGAGCTTATATTCCCATGGACAAGTGGGTCGTTTCTAGACTGTAGGATTTAGAGCTAGCATGGATGTTGGAGACTATTCCATTACCCACAAGGAAACTGAGCCCCAGAGAAAAGTGACTTGTCTGAGATCACACAGGAAGCAAATGGCAGAGTCAGGATCTGAACCCAAGAATTCTAACTCCAAATCCCTCCAGGGTTCCTTCCATCAGTGGGATAGGCTGGAGTCAAAGAACCTGGATCCAAATCCAGCCTCCGTCATTTTCTGTGATCTTGGACAAATCATTGAACTATTCATTTTCCTCATCTACAAAATGAGACGGGGCCCCTACCTGGCACAGCGGATAGAGTGTCAGGAATTCCTGACTTTATGAAGACTCTTCTTCAAGAGTTCAAATCTGGCCTCAGACACTTCCTAGCTATATGACCCTGAGCAAGTCATTTAACTCTGTTTGCCTCAATTTCCTCATGTGGAAAATGAGCTAGAGAAAGAAAAGGTAAACTACTCAAGCATCTCTTCGAAGAAAACCCTAAACAAGTTCCTGAAGAATCAGACATGACTGAAAAATGGCTGAACAATATAAAACAAAACAGGAAGACTAAAGGGTCTCTAAAGCCTTTTACAATTCTACTCCTCCAATACTATGTCTTCACCAAACCAGGACTGGAACCCAGATTCCCTGACTCAGTTCCACTGAACTTCTCATTGCATCATCTACAAGAGGTAGACAGCTACCTCCCAGTATGGGTGTCTTCAAGTAAGACTGAGTGGCCACTGGGCATAGATGCCATAGAACAGAAGTCAGTAAACCACAGCCCAAGTTCCAATATCCAGAGATTATTTTTTTGTACAACCAGACAGCTAAGAATAGATTTTACATGTTTAAATACAATTAAACTTCATTTTAAGTATGTAAAAGCCATCCTTAGATCACCAGGTCATATAAAAACAGGCAACAGGCCAGAATTGGCCCATAAGCAGGAGTTTCCTGACCCTGCTAAAGAAGTTATTTGTGCTTTAGTAAGCACCCTTCCTCCAAAGTGGCTGGCTCCACAAGCCTTTCCTTCTTTTGTTTGAAATATTATGGATTTCAAGAATATCAAGCCTCAACCCTATTCAAAAGCACAACCCTATCCCAGAGCACAATCTAAATAACTTTTAGATCCTTTCTTCTGATTATCTGCTATGCCCTATCTATATCCTTCCCCAATAACACAGATAATGTGATCAGATGTAAAGGGAAACGTGTGTCTTAGGTGTGTTAAATTAGAGCAAGAACTCCCTGAGAGCAGGAACAATCCTCTTTTTATACTTGTATCACTATTGCCTAGCTCAGTGTTTGCCACACAGGAAGCATTTCATAAATGCTTTTTCATTCATTCATTCAATCTGACATCCTGTTGGCAGGTCACCCTTTCAGATGAATTATGATTCCATTATTCAAGTGAGAGGATGGTGAGGGGATCTGCTGGCCTGGGTCACTTCCCATGGAATCAGACGCATTCATCCTGGCTCCAAGGTAATAGATGTGTGCTTGGGGTCTAGCTAAGTACTGGTTGCTTCATGTTTTGGAATGATGCTGCAACCCCTCATTGGTCCCTGTCACTGAAGGACTGTGTCAAAGATGCCTGGCAATATCACCCCAAAAGAAAGTCCTTCCAGCCTCTTTGCACAGGCCCAGTAAGCCGGGAGTCTGCCAGGAAAGCAGCTGGCCTGGAGTACTCCAGGATACTTGGACCCATCAGTTATGGCTGGCAATCAACTGTTCAGTCCTCTGTCTAAGGCATTACCACTGCCCAGACAGTCCTACTTCTGGGATAGGGAAAAATGATATTGGAGAATGAAAACAAGTAGAGAGTGAGTCTGTGTGGCACAATAAACAGAAAGAAGCAAGCACTGACATTTAAAAAAAAAAAAAACAAGACAAGTGAGGATTCAGGTTTCCAAAGCAAAGCCCTTCCCCCTTGGTTTTTTAAGTAGCCAGGATTTTCAAAGGGGCCATAGAGCTCTGAAAGACCCTCCTGGAAGTGTTACAACAAACTCCCTAAAGTTTACTTGCTTCTTTTAAAAAACAATCTTTTTACAGACATTTACAACTTAGCTTCCTCGAGGTAAGGCCTCTGTCCTGGGCCAACAACCTCCTCCTGGAAGTTTTTCATCTTCATTCAAGGCTAAGCTAAATGTGGGTGCCTAAGCCTGCTGTTTAAGGCCTGAAGCAAGGCAAAAGGGTTGATTCAAATTGACTTTAACATGAAAAGAAGGGACTCCAGAAAGATTGGTCTGTGTTCATGCTCCGTTCTCTGGATTTTGTGACTTCCCCCTCATTGTCTTATGTAACATTATGAGTCTTTCTTCATCTCACATTCCCAGGCCAGCTTGTCAGCAAAAGTCAGTGGAGCTAGGCTCATGTTCATGGGGCCTTGAAGCAGGCAGACAATGAGAATCCCAGAATACCAAGAGTAGGAAGCCACCCAATTCAGCTCCTACCCGAGCATTTCTGGTCAGTGGTCCACTGGGCTCAGCTTGAAGACATTCAAATAAGGGACTCCATATCTGATGCAAAGCCGCATTATGAGAAGTTCCCTAGATTTAGAGTCAAAGGGATCTGAGTTCAAATCCTGACCCTGTCTCCTACCACCTGTATGACCTTGGGTTAGTTACATTACTTTTCTGGGCCTCATTTTCCTCAGCTATAAAATGTAGGAATTGGATTAGATGACCAATAAAGTTTCCTCCATCTCTAAATCTCTGTTCTGTAGGACAACTCAGATCATTCAGAAGAACCAACATAGCCAAGATTAAAAGGGGAAAAAAATGTGGAGAAAAATTTTATAGACAGTTTCTCAGATAAAGATGTCATATCTCAAATGTATAAAGAACTTTGTCAAATTTATAAGAATACAAGTATTCCTCAACTGACAAATGGTCGAAGGATATGAATGGGCAGTTTTTTGATGAAGAAATCAAAACTATATACAGTCATATGAAAAAATGCTCTAAATTACTATTGATTCAAGAAATGCAAACTAAAACAACTTTGAGATGTCACCTTACACCAATCAGATTGACTAAAGTGATAAAAGGGGAAAGCAACAAATGTTGGAGGACATATGGAAAATTTGGGACACTAATTGACTATTGGTGAAACTATGAACTGATCTTACCATTTTTGAGAGCAATTTCGAATTATGCCCAAAGAGTTCTAAAACTGTATGTCCTTTGACCCAGCAACACCACTATTAGGTCTGTTTCCCAAGGTGATTAGGGGAAAAGGAAAAGAACTTATATGCTATAAAACATTTATAGCAGCTCTCTTTATGGTAGAGAAGAACTGGAAATTAAGAGGATGCCCATCAATTGGGGGATGGCT